TTCTAGGAATGCCTCTAAATTTATGATTGTTAAAAATCAGATAGGGGAAATTTTTGTAATGGCTTGAACAGTTCTTCAGTGTTCTTTATGGCTGGTTGTTCCCTACAGGACTAAACTGTAATGTTACTGTGCTAATTTGATATACAAAAGGTTGCTGATATAAAAAAAAAGAAAGAATTTGACAAAAATATTTGTAGAACCAAAATGAAATATATTCTCTTGCTGTGAATAAAGAGGTATTTTGAAGATAAATATGGAGGGTAGATAAAAATACAGCACAAAAGACCTATTCAAAGATTATGTATTGCAGTACTTTCCAGTGTTGAGAATTATCAGGATAAACAGCCTTGCTTAGCACCAGAAGGTAAAGTTGTTGAAACTTTAGGGCACAGGAACTAAGAGTAAATTTTTAATAAAAATTATGCTGGAAACACTGAACTAGCTGATGTAAGCAGAATAAAAAAAGACCCAGGAAGCATTTCTAAGGGAGTGAGGTAACCTCAGAATGTGGCCAAACTAGTGACCAGGAAATCAGGAGAGCACTGACCAGAACTAAGTGGTGGGACTTGGGGATGAGGTGATGGGCAGCACGGGGATAACTGGGAGCTGCACTCTGCAGCAGGGGCCCCTCCTTGGAGGCACTCAGCAGAAGCTGCTCTACACATTTCCTGTATAAACCACTTGCTTACTGGACAGATTGGACACAGTTTAGGACTGGACCCTGCTGAGGTGATATCTGCATGATTGCTGCTGTGGCCCTGTTTGTGATGGCACCATTACTGATGTGTGTGACCACTGTGACATCTTCCTGTTGCAGGGTGACATCATCAGGTTAGAGCAGAATTCTTTGTTTAAGAATACAAAGAATACTGCTTTGAACTGACTAGGAAAGAATACTAAAGAATGTGAAGGATGGAGGAATATGCTGTCATAATACTTCATATTCACACTATTTGCTCTACTGATTTTGAACATTCACCCTTCTGTGGGGTAAAATTTTTGTGTTTGCTGTTCTTGCTGTGCCTAAATCTTACTACTTTTACCTCTGGTGAAAAGAGTAAGTACACAAAGTTTTCCACAGTCCTTGTTTTTGTAATTTCAGAGACTTTGGTCTCAACACTGATAGAGAAATAACAGATGTGTTACAACCACAGCTGGTGGCACGTGCAGGCAGGGGTGCTGTGTCCACATGACAGCCACCTGGTACTGCTTCATCATCCATACTGAGACTGGAAAAAATCACAAGCAACATTTTCTTTTCTGCTGAGTGAAGAGTTTCATGAGCCTAGAAACAATTTCACATAGAGAAACAGGCTTAAAAAAAACCCAAACCTCTGAAAGGTCTATGAAAGGTGTTACTGAGGTGTGTGGTGGCATGGAGCATGCAAAGGCAGGAAAGTGGGAAGGGATGTTATGGGTTCCTGAGCTGGGAGGCCAAAAGGCACCACCAAGGTCCTTCTTCAGCTCAGGCAACAGAGCTGCCTTGTGGCTGTGGTGGCTGCAGTCTGAACTAGGGGCTTTTTCTCTCTCTCTCTTTTTTTTTTTTTTTTTGTTTTCTCTCAGTATAAACTGAATTTGACTTCTACATGACTAGCTATTGAGAATAATAGCCACTGAAAAATCCTTCTGCTGATGATTATCACTGTCAAAACACGAGCACTTTTAGAAGATTGTATTTTCTACTGGTGACCACACATCTCCTTATACAAAAACCTAGAGACTGGAAGACACCATGTTCTATTAATGTTTTCAGGTATTGCACATATCAGAGAGCCAGAAAATGAAAACTATATTTCAGAGTTTGCACCAAGTACTTTGAGAGCAGGTGTTTACACTCCATTTGAAGCTCCTGAAGAATGAAGTATGGAGGATGCTTCCCACTGGATATCTGAAATCCAGTCTGAGAGTTCCACAGCAGCTTTAGAGCCGAAATTAACTTTAAGAAATTGATAACAACTTTAAGAGAGACCTGGTGCCTGCCTCTGGACATGTAGTTCCAAACATGTAGACAAGATTAGAAAGGTTTGCTTTTGTGATTTTGTGACACCGACATGAACTGTGTCTACAGAACCACCCAGGATTTTCCAGATCCAGTTACCGAGAAGGTGCTAATGGCTTTGATTGCCATCTACAGCAGGCAATTAGACCCAAGAATGGGACGGAGGGATTCAGAAAGCCTGGAGTTTGAGGCCAGAACAGCTCAGGGTTGTTTAGCAGCTATAGGATAAACTGATAAGTTTCTGAAGTCAGCCCAGAGTGGCTAGTTTTACTTTTTAATCTTTTTAATCAAATTAATCAGTACAGGAAAGGCCAGAAAGGTATGAAATAATATTTGCACCATCACCGTGTGTTTTTAGTTATAAGGTGAATAAACTCTACCTAAAGCAGTTTTAGGGAGAAACTATGCAAGTTACTAAAAAACGATTAAGCAAGTTACTGAAGATAGTTTTAGAAAGGACTTCTGCATTGTATTGATCACTGGTAACAGCTATTTAAGGTATCACTTATTACTACATAAATTCTTTCGCAGCACAGTGCACTGCAGACACCTCTAATTTCTGCACTAAACAGTAAAAAACAGAACCCAAACCTGAGCAGCATCAAGAGACAGATGTCCTTATAGCAGTTACGACTATGTACATGGATAAACTTCCATTTGTAATAACTTTTCAGAGCAGAAAACTACAGCAGCTTTTTTGGTTTCGTTTCATGTAAAAATGCTTCAAATAGTGCTTAAGAAATAAAAAAACCAGTATGAAAACTAATGAGACCTATAAAGCATCACAGAGAAATAAAACTGAAAGCCCTCTTTAGTTAGAAAATACTTAACTACTACAAGTTACTACCCGGAAAAGTTCATTCCCCAGCAACACTGGACAGCAGGCATGTTCTGAAATATAATGGCTTAAACTGACTATAAAGAATTTACACTACTGAATTAACGATTTCTTCATGCATATGATGGTGCAGCTCCTTTATTGAGCATATGGGTGGCTCTTAAAAGAGCCTTTGGGTCGAACAGGTCTGGCAGGGGGCACAGAGGCACCTTACTTGGAGCTGGTGTACTTGGTGACGGCCTTGGTGCCCTCGGAGACGGCGTGCTTGGCCAGCTCGCCGGGCAGCAGCAGCCGCACGGCCGTCTGGATCTCCCGCGAGGTGATGGTCGAGCGCTTGTTGTAGTGCGCCAGGCGCGAGGCCTCGCCGGCGATGCGCTCGAAGATGTCGTTCACGAACGAGTTCATGATGCCCATGGCCTTGGACGAGATGCCCGTGTCGGGGTGCACCTGCTTCAGCACCTTGTACACGTAGATCGAGTAGCTCTCCTTGCGGCTCTTCTTGCGCTTCTTGTCGCCTTTCTTCTGCGTCTTGGTCACCGCCTTCTTGGAGCCCTTCTTGGGCGCGGGCGCGGACTTGGCCGGCTCGGGCATGGCGGTACCAGCAGCACTCCCACAACCCAACACAACGACACCCAGCAAACTGAGGAGACACTGCCGCGCGTCACCTATTTATAGCTCCCTTATGCAAATGAGAGGAATTCACTCTGCGCACTGCCATTGGTTAGATCACAACTCGCGTCACAACTTCACGATCGCGTCGCTTATTGGTCGGAATTCGATTCTCCTCCTCATTGGCTGCGCCGGGCAGACCTAGTTCTCAGCCTATCGGCTGGGGCGATGGGGGACGCGCAGGCGGTGGCCGAGGCTGCCCGGCTGGGCCTCCCTTTCGTCTGGTGGTGGCT